ATATATATATATATATATATATTAAAATATTAATACACGATTTGAAATTGTTAAATTATGCGAGCAAACGAAGATAAAAAGAAATCGCGCGAAATTAAATTGTACTAGAAAAACTGAGCATCGATCAATATTGATGGAAATAGTCTCCTCTCATAGATATGAAACAAAAGAGAGAGGGAGAGAAAAAAACGAATGGACATTAACTATATATATCTATAGTCTTTGAAATACCCTTTGAATTTCTCGTTTCGAGTTTCGGCGCTTTTTATAAACAAGAAATGAGATATGCATAATGCTTGTCTCGTTTACAAAAAAAAGAAAACGAGTGTAATAATATCGAATAATTACGAATAATTATCGATAAAGTACCGTTTAAACTTGCTGCGATAGCAGCGAAATCTATGGTCATGTTTCGAAGCGATCCTTTGTAAAATGAACGATCAAATTTTTTTTCCTTTTTCTCTGTATATATTTTCCTTTTCTACTTTCTTATTTTGCTATCGTTTTTTTTTTCGACTATACGAAAAAAGAAACAATTGGTGTTTAACTTACGCGAGTTGTGCGGACGATCGAAAGCGAGATGGAGCATTTGTTTGACGATATCAGTTTAACCTCTAAAGTGCAGAAGTACAATCGTTGTAATATCAATACGGATTTCGACTTCGTGTTAAAATTTATCTTTCCGTCTTATAAACACTCGACAATGTTATTTCAAAGAATTGTAAATTGATAAATTTCATTTTGATCTAAAATTAACACTCCTTGAGAATAATTAATAAAGTGAATTCTGCCACAGTAAAGGTTAAACTAGAAACATCTCGTAATAGACAAATATAGAGGTTGCTTCACGTTAGAATTTCTGCTCCACGAAATTTTATGCTATTTCTTTTTTCCATTTTTTTCTATATACACGTATTATATTATACATGCATTTATATGTATGTAATATAACCAGAATAAGCAAGATCTTGGAAAGAGAATCTTGTCGCTAGAGTACAACAATCGATCGATCGATTCAACTGCGAAGCCTATCTCTAACGAATTCGTGCACGCAGCATTATTTTGTCTCTTATTTTTCCCTTCAGTCGGCGAACGCGGTCTTAGGTCGTCGAGAGGAGGCTAGCAAGCAGCCTGAGCTCGACACACACAAAGATAGCTTTATGGTGTATGTATGTGTGTGTATTTCTTCGTACACGAAGCTCGAAACGATATTGATCGTTTATCTTCGTTTTTATACTTTTTTTTTGTCTTTTTTTTTCGTATAATTTTTTATTCGTTTCATTGAATTATTTTTTAATCTGGCAGTATAATAATTGGTGTATAAAATTTTGTTTTCGACGCGTTTCTTTTTCTTTTTTTTCTTTTTTTTTTTTTTTATTAATTCTTTGTTCTTACCCCCTTGAATCTTATTTTTATTTACCGACACATGTTTTTATTTTTCGACGGTTTTCATCGGTCCATCGTCATCCCCATAAAATTCCTGCCTAATTATAATGTAGACTCACGGCGAATTCGTCTAATTAATTCGATAAAATTTTGAGAAAAAATATCACAATTGCCTTTAAATTTATGGCGAATTTTCATTCTAGACTTGCCTGCGTCCTTCCAGGAAGAACAATCGGTCAAACCGAATATTCGATTCGTCTTCTCGGTCTTCCGTTCGTCCATAACGCGGATCATGCGCGTGTCCCACGCTAAATTACGTATGAAGAATTATACTATATGATCCCGTATACGTGATACTCGTAAACGAATATTTAATTTTTTTTTAACTAAAATCCAGAAATATGCGCGTTCTAAATCAAATTGATATAATAGCAACGATCAACTTTTTCGATATCTACAATAAAAATCAAATTTTACATTTAAAAAAAAAATCTCTACCCAAATCTTAATCTTTTTTCAACAAAGTACATATCGATTTCATTCATTTGATATTAAATTAAATTCTGCTAAGTATGTAAAATATAACGAACAATATTTGTCTAATCAATATCCGGAAAATTAAAAATGTTAAATTCAAATTATTACTTTTATGATATTTCTGGAAATCAGCGAGCACATTCGTCCACGAATGCACGTACGAAGCCTATTGTGAGGCAGACGGACGAATAATTGGTCGAACAATCGACCGGCCATGATGTGGGACACGCACACGTAACACACGGACCCACTAGGTCTCTCTTTTTTTCTGCGGGGATCGCGTGACGATCATCGACATCCCTCGAGAAGGCAAGGCAAGAGAGCCAGGCGAGAAAATCGAGCCAAAGTGCTCTCCATCGGATGAAGGAAGACCTATTGCAATGACCTAAGAGTCGGTTCGGGAACCAGCACATGTTTCCAGAAACGCGCGTACTTCTACTATTCGTAATTTTTTTCGAAGTCGCGTGCCTCTTTTTTAGTCTATCTACCGAGCCAGGAAAAAAAATTCCTTTTTTTTCTTTTTTTCTTTTTTTTTTTTTATTAATTTTTCTTTTAAAATTCTTCTTGTTACTGGCGAATCAGAAGCAAGGCTGTGTTCCGCGCCCTCTTGCGTTTGATTAGAGAATGGGAAAAGATAGAGAGAGAGAGAGAGATAACATAGAGAAAAAATCGAAAAAGAGAGTCAGAGAGGGCGCGACAGTCTAAGGACGCCTCGTTCCGTACCGCCAATTATTCGCTATCTACTAGTCAAAACCCCTTATTACGGCTAAAAAGACCCTGACGGAGTTTGCCAAGTGCCAGACGAGAGCGATGAGAAATCGTTCGACGATCGGTCAACGATCTTCCGTTTTTTTTTTTTTTTTTTTTTTTTCTTCTATTTTCTTTTCCTTTAGAACGTATATATACTTGATTCTCATCTTACACGCTTCTACCATTGCTCGACAACGCAACACCGTTTGTATTTGAACGAAGTCAAACACAATTGAACAATCTATATATTCTTTTCTTGCCACGTACGAAAAACGTGATCGGCCCTTCTAACCGTCCGCCATCCGTCATGGGATTGACGTATCTCTCTAGGTACGTGTTTCTCTCATCGTCAACCTCGTTTTCCAACGGGGAAGAAAATCGAGGGGAACAGTAATCGAGTAAACACGAGTAATATTTTACAAGAATAAGGGACGAAGATAGAGAAAGATGAAGAAGTGTTCCGGTGATCTGGCACACCTCGCTGAACTCCTGAACACCACAGAGATCGTTTATATCGATCCTCCATACTTCTTGTGATGCTTCTTTATGGAGATCTGTTTATGGATCAGGTCGAACGGTTTCGCAAAATGGTGGACGATATCGTAGAGTATGTGTTCGCTAATCCGTGACCGTGATACAGCGCAAACCGTACGCGTGTAATTCGCGCGTGTATCGTGCGAGTATTGTCGCCATCGCCGCGGCAACAACAACGTCACGATTGTTGACGTGATAACGACGATGACGACGACGACTGTAACTGACTATGTGTTTGACTGTGTGGAAATTGGCAATTGTTTGCTGGCAGTTGGCGAGAAGTTTAATGTAGCATTGGCAAACTCTGGGGTCGGCTCGGCGACGGTCTCCGCCCGCGGACATACGAACGGAGCGGTCGTTTGGCCTAGTCGCCGAAACGACTGCAGGCCTTCTTCCATTTGCACTGTGTGCACCATAGGTCACGATGCTCCATACCGTAGACCTTGCGGCATTTCTTCGTCTCGCCGCGAATCCGTCGGGGCGACGATGGTATCTTTCCTGTCGACACTGTCAACAGGCCCATGTTTTGTTGATACGCCTGGAACGGCCTGGGTGACAACTTTATATGCTTGATCGGTGTACCCTGTATCACGAAAAACGAAATGTCAGATTTCATTTAGAGGTTAGGTTAAAAATTATTATATTTAGATAGTTAGTAGGAGATTATGACGATTATGATTTTTTTTTTTAATTCGATCAAGAATAAAATGAATTTCAGTTTCTTCTAAAAGTTATATAGAGTCAAATCTATATGTAATGTGCATAATGCATATATATATATATCAATGTACCGGTGATTGCGAAGTGGCGAATGTGGTTCGTTCTCTGATGCTCATCATCATGTTTTCTGCATTGTTAGTAGCAGAAGTGGTTTCCAAACGAAGCTGTTTCTGATACTCCGGATCCTCGTGCGGAGGTCTGGCCATGTCCCTATGCGACATAGTTGGTGGAGAGCTCATATGATCGACTGCCACCTCCTGATAATAGAACTCTTCCTCGTGATCGGAGATGTCATCGTCCTCTTCGTTATCGTAACCATTCGTTTTTTTAGGTCTGAAAAACGTGCGCGATCCTCGTTAAATGCGTATCTGAATGCGTGCAAAATGTGTAGGCGATCTATTCGATGTTCACGATATCCAGCCAGTTAGTGGAACTTATCTTATCGCATGATTCAAGGTTAATACTTGAACATCAAAGAATTTGAAGAATAATGTGGCACGATGAATATTGCGAAATTTCGAGTCGAAAAATGATATACAAGAAAATTCGTATATAAACGCATAGAAGATCAAATTTGGAATGGATTAATGTATTTTTCAATTAATTCATTGAATTCGTTATTTCTCATAAAAAAAAAAAATATTATCTTATTTATATGAAAAAAATCTAATTAATTAGTTATAATAATAAACTATGCTCTTTACGTATTTTATAATATCAAGTACTCGAATCAAATTGATAGTGAAATTGAAAATTAAAAAACACGTGCACGAGTTCGTGCAACAGATGCGATAAAATATTGTCGGATTTTCATGAGACTTGTTGCGTCTTACTATATATTTAAGACTTACCCCAAGTGTGATTGACGCACGTGCTCCTCGATAAGCGGCACGGTCGCTTTGATTTCTAAACAACCTGGCCAAGTACATTTAAATACTACCGCTGCATTAGCCTAAAATCAGAACAAATCTTGCGTTAATAATATGAATACATATAATATATTATATAATTTGAGTTTAAAAGAATTTTATGTTACAAATATATCAATGGATAATATTTATACAAAATTTTATATTGTGCAACTTTACATATTATATCAATTAATAATTTGTTACACAGGGAAACCTTATTTACAACATTTTTCAAATATTATTTTCATCGAATAGTTATTTTTATATCTTTAATCACGATTATAGACTCCAACTCTATATAATCTACAAGTTTATATTTGTATGTACTTATTGCACTAATGTATAACCTATAAATCGTAGGCTTTCTTGGCATTTATTTTTCATAAAGTGTTCCGATTGTTTTGAAGACATGGCGACTGTATTTTCAAACATTATCAAAGTGCCGAAAATATCTCATGAAGGATTTTAGACGTCCTCTAACGATATCTCACGGTCCGCCGACAAGCATCGTAGCGTGAATCGTACGTAACTATATCGCGGAAAGCCCCATGGTACAAGGGGAAAATCGATGCGCAGCAGCCGCCGCGTATCGTTGTGCGCAGCCACGTTTCTTTGTTTATATCGGCCGGCACAGTGGTGCCGGCACGATCACGTGCTATTGATCCGAGAACGATACTTCTCCGTCGAGCCACGCGGTCGTGCTACGATCGTGCTTTTAACCGTTTCAACACGGTCTGTCCTTCAAATATGAAACACTTATTATTATACTTTTAAAAAGAATCGAATTATTAATAATGAAAGAAAGCTGACACATGAAGAGTTATATATGCGGGAGAAGGATTTTGGATTAAGTTAAAAAGAAATTGAAAATAGAAAAGTTTAAAGCTATTCTGCAACTGTTGGATTTGACATTTATATTTGGTGAACAAAATTTGGAATTTTTTGGTAACTCGTTAAAAAAATATCGCATAAAAAATATGAAAATTGATGAATAAAATATGTTAAAAAAAAAAATTAAGAATTTATAAGTTTCTAATATGAAAAATATGTGTATCGTATATTCAAGTGAAATATTGAGCGATCTGAATTTTATATTTAAAAATACAAGTGCTTTGAAAATATTTTATAAATATAATAATTAAATGATTTATAGGTACTATAAACAACTACTTTTAAAAAAATGTCTGATAAATATAAAACTTCAAATCATTTTTTTTTTTGATTTAAAATTTTATAACAATTATTCTATATATATAACGTAATCTATATAACACATCTTCATACACATGTATCTTTTTATTCAAACTCAATAAATACTCTAATTCTAACTTATTTTACACAGGAATAGCAGGAACTCTAACTTAACTCCAATAAATAATAAAGAAGATAATGATAGAAGACAGTCTAAAGCTACGTTTCGCTGAATCTATCGATTCCTATATCCATTTGATAAAGCATACGTTAGAAATACCAGATTGGAACAATATTATTGTTCAAAAGATAAATTATTTATTGAAACAACTTAAAAATTTATTAAAATTTCATTGATAAATTTTTTAAACTTTCTAATTTAAGGATGAAATAAAACAAATAAATAATTTTTTGAAACTATGATCAAAGATTATAATTGATAAAAACTAATGGAGCAATAAAATTTGATTTATCTTGCATAATTGCAACTTAAGAACTACTTGACTTTTATAATAAAAGATCCATGAGAATGTCCAACAACTGTTGGAAAAAAAAGGGAAAGAATTCGATTGGTTAAAAATTTCGACGCAATTCGTATCTGATAATATACTTCTTTCGAAAGCACACTCGAATCACGAAAGGTTAAAAGCGAAGGACACCGTAAGAGGCGACACTTTTGAAGAACATGGTGGTCAAAACGAGTTTTTCGCTGTCAGGTCACTATTGCTGATCCATAAATTTCAGATCTAAATTGTAAAATAGGAAGAAAAATTTTTAGAAAGTAGTATTTTATTTTTCTTTCGATAAGAATTTAAAAATTAACATTATTTAGAAATTTTAAAATTCTAAATTCAGATATTTCAGAATTAACAAATTGTACCATCTCATAATTTTATTTTTTAATTATTTGTTTCTAAGCTTTAAGAGTTTTAAAGTTCTTGAGAAAAAGAAAGTTTTTACAGTTGTAAAGTTACAAAGACAGAAAAATTGTTTTAAAATTCTAAAATTATAATGTTCTAGAGTTATTTTTTAGAATCCTGAAATTTTGAAAGTTTTGTAGAAATTGACATCAATTACAAATATTTATACTCAGAGACTCAGATGACGCGAATCTTTTCTATCCATCAAACGAGTCAGAAAACATTTGTACAGATATCTCTTGGATTTTTAAACTTCCGCAAAACAAGAAAAGAATCGGTCAGAAAGCTGTTCTCGCTACTTCAAGGACCTTTCTGATCGTGACATCACCTCTGAAACGGTACACGCGGCCAGGCGCATATACAGGCGTACATAAGCATTACCGAGGTCACAGACCTTCTATGCCGGTTGGCAAGCAATGCTCTCCCTTTGCTTTGCTTTGCTTTGCTTTGCTTTGCTTTGCTTTGCTTTGCCTTGCTTTGCCTTGCTTTGCCTTGCCTTGCTTCGTATCGAAAAAGTCAAAGCTGATCCTTTCCCCTCTTATTCACATTGACTTTCAGTTATGTTCGTTAATAATTGTGGATAGAGATTGCTTATGTTGGTATACATGTATCATCATAACCACAAATATAAATCAATGAATAGGATGAAAACAGACTTTCTAAAATATCCTTTGATCGCATAATCGTACGACCAGTTTCGTTTCTACAAAAAAATAAATATGAATTCGAATATGAAGTAT